TGAAGAGGTTGGTTAATTAATTGACTAGTAAGTGTTTTGTATGTTTGCATGGCGATAAAATATAATGGTTTTGTTTGTGGAAACACCACGTAAATTTATTACTGCAAAGCTTTCGATCTGTAAGCCCGGATCTTCATCAGTGCTAACAAGACGCCGACTCGGCGTTAACCTCGGGTCGGTGGATAGGGGATCGTCTGGTAAATATCCAAAAATTGTGTAAATCACGATAGTTTAATAGTTCACTAGTATAAATGGTGAATCAGTTAATCAAAGCTCCGTTTTAATATTTTTTTGATAATTAATTACTGGCCCTCATCAAACCTATTGTTTTCTCTCTGCATTATATCAGCGAATGTCGAGAAGTTTTCATTTAACGTTCTACTGAAAAAAGGGAGCGGCCTTTTTGGTTGTATAGGGAAATTCCGGCTCACGGGTAAATGTTTATACGCGTCATATTCTATGTACGCGTTAAAATAGCACACAACATTATTAAAAATAATGCAGCGTGCATCAGTGCACACAGACATTATTAGCAATAATGCATGTTCGTCACCCTGACATGTACACGCGATAACGTGAACATCCCAAGATGAGAAGGTGACAGTGCTAAAGGGCCCCCATACGGTGTCTTCGGGTGCCTGAAGCACTGTTGGAAACGGTCGCTGTGAGTCTTTTCAGTTCAATTTTATAGAGAAATAGTTTCGTTTGCGCTTGTGGGATTTTATCCTAGATATACGCATGTGCAGAATACACCATAAGTTCTATTCCCGTGTTTATCCAATACGCTATTTGAGTAAACCTTATCATTAATGATAATATGTAAACTAGAACACTATAATTGACCTCCGCTTGTGGAGATTTTAATTTAGAGCGATTAATTAAACTGAAATCTGTTCTATCACAATGCACTACAGTGCCTATGGTTATGTCTATATGCATGTCCTCACAAATGTCTAGTGTAACGTTGGATATGTTCATTGTCATACGGTCCCGACAAGCAGCAACGTACAGTAGTCTTCCAGCCGAAAATAATTACTTTTGATTCGGGTCAGTAATTATAATAGATAACAAGTGAAAGTTGGCCACGGTATTCCCATGCTATGCATACGAAGTATTGTGCATTATATCAACATATACTCGAGAATAGTTATCCAGCTAAACATGTATGTCAAAATTATCACATCTTCTGGTTTATCAAATTATCACATCTTGAGATTTTGTGCAAGGACAGCTTTGGGTTGCGTTTCGCTTTGGCCGATGCTTGAAATTTTCCGGAAGAACACTTATTTACCCGAAGTTGTCGTCTCCTCCGCAGGCTCTTCGACTGCGCGCGCGGCTCGACACAAATGGAAAAAAAAACAAAAACTAGGAGCCGAATTTATGACCTCGGTGTCGTACCGACCCGAGGTAATAAATGTAGGTCATTTACAAACGTAGAAAAAAAACAAATGTCCGAGGATATATCCCTGAGCAACTCAAAATTTTAGTGGTAACGACGTTGACAATGAACCTGATAGATGACGGCATCGTTGTGATCTGTCCCCGAGATAGGAGGAAAATCATTGCAGTGCATTCGGGCTAATATAATACTTTCTCAATTCTGAAAGTAGGATGTCGTAATTTACTAAGTCAAAAGCCTTACTAAGGTCTAGAAAAATAACACCTACAAGCTGACTGTCATCCATAGTTTTAAGCCATTTATCAGTCATATTGAGTAGTGCTATTTCGCAAGAATGATTGGATCGATACGCAGATTGATTTGCAAAAAGTAGACAACGCCTTAAATAAACAGAATGTGAGGGCTGGAACGAGCTAGCAACGCCAACCCCCACACTTCTACAACTCAATGTTGATTGGCTGGATACAAATCACACTACTCGCCAGATCACGTGTACAAAGATCCTCTCAACCATTTGTATAAAAGGGAGTGTACAGCCCAAATTCGTCAGTGGACTCAACGAAGTAAAAATTACGTATGAAAAGTTCTAGGAAGCAGTAGTAAAACCCCTCATATGGCGGAATTTATAATGAGCTTGCAAAATCTATGACGTCACTTTGTTCAGATAGCTGGCGGAATTTATAATGAGCTTGCAAAATCTATGACGTCACTTTGTTCAGATAGCTGGCGGAAATTATAATGAGCTTGCAAAATCTATGACTTCGCATTGTTCAGATAGCTGGCGGAATAATGAGCTTGCCAAATCTATGACGTCACTTTGCTGGGCAAGCCTTGGAAACTGTGAGAGGTAACGCGACCAAATTAGTTGGGATCAAGAAGACCCATTAGAGTTGATTGCTGCAACATTATTTAGCAAACCTCATAAAAATAAGAAAGCAAAAGCTTATCAAGAATAACTTAAGCTTAACAAGGAAAAATTTTTAGAACAGTCTTAGGTTAATAAACCTTGCCATAAAAAATAAAAATGTTTTTATCAAATATGCGGTCGTTATATAGGCTGCTATGTGTTGCCAGTCATAATTAGCGACGCTTGGGTGCATGCATATATTAATGTACAACATATCTGTACACTAATCAAGCGGGAGGGTTAGGAAAATCGCCCGGGTGGGAAACAGTGTGTTCTGCAGGCAAAAATTTCCACAAGAATTTAGATTTAAAACGCATTTATTTCTTTAAAACGTTTTTTAAAATTAAGTACGGTCTACTTCTAGGAGCATAATGTTTAGGTGTTTTTGTTATCTTTAAAGAGTTCTCATATTCTTGTCTGTCTTCAGGCGATAACTTTGCAAGTTTCTCCGGCTCCATTGGAATATATTTTGGTCTGTCGCTCAATATAAAACGTTCATAATCCTCTCTTGCTAGGTCACGTTCGGTGGGTCGATCCAATTGTGGAAAAAGTTGCGCTTGAGTTTTGGTCGTTTCTCTTCTGTTGGTGGCGGTGTAAGAAAATTAGGTTTAGGAGTAGTAAGCACTGGTGGTGTTATCTCAACAGATTCATTCGTTTCTGTTGGTTTTCTCTGAACAGGGCCTTCGTGATAGTGAGCCGGGACATCCATCTTATTTTTGAATATGAGAAACCGGTTCAGCTGATCAGAATATAATTTGCTTTTTTCCACTGCTGTGAGCTGTTGTCCATCCATGATTTCTTTCAAACGCTGTTCGACATCATACATTGCATTTACAAGTGGTGGCTGACGATGCGACTGTTTGTGTAAAAACTTTGGAATCTCGCCGGGAAGTACGTTGGTCTTAGGTCGATCTTGATCACTTGTTGTTGGCTTTAAATCCAGCATCAAATATCCATGAGGTCCGCTCGTAGAATCTTCATAACTCCTCATCAATTCTTGCACTCTCCCGGGATTGACTTGTCTGGCAAGCATAGAAATTTGCTGTTTATCTCTTGGTGACTTGAACAGCATAATATGTGAGCGTTAAGGCTGATATTTCTCATCTGTTTTCCCTGATGAAATATATGTGGAACAATATAGATGATGGACAAATTTCGGTAATGACTTCCTTTCGTAAAAAGATCAGCTATACGGCTCGAAGCCGAGCTCCACAAGCTCGTAGCCGAGCTCGAACGACTCGGAGCCGAGGTCGAATGGCTCGGAGACGAGCTCGAATGGCTCGGAGCCGAGCTCGAATGGCTTGGAGCCGAGCTCGAATGGCTAGGAGCCAAGCTCGATAAGCTCGGAGCCGAGCTCCATAATCTCTAGAATTCATTGATTCAATCTTATGATTCAATGATTCAATCTAATGATTCGATCATTCAATCTTATGATTCAACGATTTAATCAATGATTCAATGATTTAATCTATAATTCGATGATTCAATCAATGATTCAATGATTCAATCTTATCATCTTATCATTCGATGATTCAATCTTATGATTCAATGATTCAATCTTATGATTCAATGATTCAATCTTATGATTCAATGATTCAATCTTATGATTCGATGATTTAATCTTATGATTCGATGATTCAATATAGGATTCAATGATTCAATCCTATGATTCAATGATTCAGTATTATGGTTCAATGATTCAATCTTATGTTTCAGTGATTCAATCTTATGATTCAATGATTCAATCAATGATTCAATATTCAATCTTATGATTCAGTGATTCAATCACTAAATAGCTTGGAGCCGAGCTCCATTTGAATCATGAATCCTAAGTTTGAATCATTGAATAATAGATTGAATCATTGAATCATAAGATCGAATCATTGAATCATGGATTGAATCATCGAATCATAAGATTCGCTCATTAAATCATAAGACTGAATCATTAAATCATAGGATTGAATAATTGAATCATAAGATTGCATCATCGAATCATAAGACTGAATCATTGAATCATAAGATTGAATAATTTAATCATAGATTGAATCACTGAATCATAAGATTAATTCATCGAATCATAAGATTGAATCATTGAATCATAGAGTAAATCATTGAATCAGTGGTTGAATCATTGAATCATAGATTGAATCATTGTATCATAAGATTGAATCATTGAATCATAAAATTGAATCGTAGAATCATAGGACTGAATCATTAAATCATAGGATTGAATAATTGGATCATAGATTGAATAATTGAATCATAGATTGAATAATTGCATCATAAGATTGAATCATCGAATCATACGATTGAATTATTGAATCATAAGATTGAATTATTTAATCATAGATTGAATCATTGAATCATAAAATTGAATCATTGAATCATATATTGAATCATTGAATCATAGATTAAATCATTGAATCATTGATTGAATCATTGACTCATAAGATTGAATGATCGAATCTTAAGATTGAATCATTGAATCATAAGATTGAATCATTGAATCATTAAGATTGAATCATTGAATCATAAGATTGAATCATTGAATCATAGATTGAATCAACGAATCCTGGAGATTATGGAGCTCGGTTCCTAGCCACACTCAATCATGAGAAGACTAAATTTATAATCTTTGCTGGTAGACAACGTTTAAGAACAATCTCTAGCCTCAACATCACTATCTACGATCGAATGATTAATCAAGATCATGTATTGGAATACCTGTGTATCACGATCAGTGAAAATCTCTCTTGGAATGAATATATCGAGAACTCGATGAGCAAGATCAATCAAAGACTTGGAATATTGCGCCGTGTCACACCATTACTACCATTAAATGCAAGATTAGCTTTCTATACCGCTACAATTCTACCGTTATTTGACTACGCAGACATTATTTGGGGTGACAAAACCAACACTGGACTCATGAATGGTTTCCAGACCTTGGAAAATAAAGCCGCCAAATTGATTCTAGATCTTCCTTCTCTCTCCTCGATACCCTTCAATGGTTACCTCTTTCCTCCAGCAGATATAAACATCGCTGTATCTTCATCTACAAATGTACTAATGTACTTTTAACTTTAAACTAACAATTAACAACTGTATTCATTCCTACAACACAAGATCCTGCAACAACCTTCATCTTCCGAAAGCCAACACAAACTGGGGTAAACTTAGACCGACTTACTATGCTTCGATGGACTTCAACAATTTGAACAGCTCAGTTACAAGCGTTAGTTCTCTGTCTCGATTTAAGACTCAATTAAATCCACTTCGTACGTAGACATAGTTATTGCATGCTTGATATATTTTAAATATATGTGTACAGTTTAGTTCGTGGGTGTGAACCGTGTCTCTATGTTTTAATTTTGAGCAATATTATCTTAACTTCCGACTTCTGAAACGATTTATTCTTTCCTACCATTTGAGGCACGTTGCATGCTTCCTGACTAAATTAAATTACCTTTTTCTAAATTAATGGTCTATTTATCATCGTTGTAATGTTCATGTATACATTTGTGTATTTTTGTACAATTTAAATATTGACAATTAATATTGTAAATAATTATAATTTTGATGCAGGACCCCACTGAAAAACATGTAAGTGATGTGGGTATCCCAGGGCCTTTTTTAACATACAAGTTGGGGGGGGGGGGCAAATGCCCCCAGTCCCCCCTTGTCCCCCCCACCCCCACCCCCACGAAATCAATTTTGCCCCCCCCCCAGGAAAAGTCCCTTTTCCCTAAAATTATAGAAACAAACCAGCGAAGATTAACAAATACATAAACGGAAAGTAAGTTTTAGGCTTTATCCTTTGTTCTTGTTTAACAAAATCGATTTAAATTGTTACTTATATATATATATATATATATATATATATATATATATATATATATATATATATATATATATATATATATATACTGTTATATCAAAACACGAGTGGAAATTGGGAGAACGAGAATTGTGTGGAAACATTTTAGTTTTTAATTTTCATCGAGCGTTGTCGGAAGTAAGTGATAAGATTAATTCTCTATGGTCTGTGCTGCATGCATGCTTCCAATGAGATAAAATACGTATATTTAAAGATAAAAAAACCTTTGATTTCGTTTAGAAGACCTCGAAATTTAGCTGATAATTTTGTAAGATCTAAAATAAAAAGAGGAACCGATACAGGTAAAGCTAAGCTTAAGGGTATGAAGAAGTGTGGGAAATCTAGATGCCAGATATGTTATTATGTAGATGAAACGGAAAAATTTCAATATGGAAATAATAGTTATTGGATAAATTATTCCTTTTATTGTTGTTCAGAGTGTGTAATTTATGTAATAAGATATATCAGTTGCTCTAAGATTAATGTGGGAAGTACGATAACATCTTTCAGGAAGAGGTTTAATAACCATGAGAGCTCTATGAGGAAGTATGAACAAGGGGGCAGAAAAATGGCTGCGTTGAACCATAAAGGTTTGGACGATGTTAGGGTTATAATTATGTACTATTTAAAACAAGAGTAGGAGTGTTTTAACAGATATAAAACGCGAGGCGCAGCCGAGCGTTTTATATCTGATAAAACACGACAACGAGTGTTTTGAATAGCTTAAAATACGACTACAAAAAGAATGCTAATTAGGATGAACCATAATATAATCATGCTAATTAAGATGAACAATTATATAATGCCACATGTGTTTTATCAGATATAAAGTCACTCCACGTGACATATTATGGCTGACATGATTTTCCACAAGGTTTATGCATTATTAATGAGTATTTTAATGATATATAAAACCAATATTGGTAAGCCTACACAAAGGGAAGCATTTTGGGTATACAAATTACTAATAGATACATTTGTACCTAGGGGATTAAATGTGATTGGTTTTGAATAATTGTGTTGTAATTACCAGGACAAATGTTTGAACTTGGCGCACGCTTTAAAAATGAGTAAAAAAATAGAGAAACATACCCTGGTTGCCAGAGGTTCTGTATCTTTCGCCTTATTCCCGCTCGTATTTATTTTACGCGAGGCGAAGAGAACCTCTGGTGGCACGCGACACAAATCTCTCTTCCTTTGGTACAAAATTTGTACCAAGCACATGATTGGTTAGTTATAATTAGCAGTCACATGAAGTGATGTGATTGGCTAGACAAAAAACCTGTTTATAAATCTCAGAGAACATGATGTAAACAAAATACAGAAATAATACGAACGTATTAAATTTAAAATGCTTATACTCAGTGTGGGTTATTTGAGATTAACTTAGTTTGTTCCGCTATAAAAATATTTTCTGCGCTGGAGAAGGGCTGCCATCGCGGCATGACTTGAGAGTCGACGGCATGACATGTTCACTCTATACAGTAGTATTATTTGTAAAATACGAAGTGTTGGTCACTTGCTTATCGTTCAAGGTTTTAAATTTTGGTAATTCTTTGACTTTAATAGTTATTAATATGGTTTATTTTGCCAATATTTTTCCGTTGTCTGTTTATAAGGACAACCATACTGGCTCCGTTGCACACATATGTATAAATATTTATATGTTTATATTCTTTCACTTTTGACTTTATACGTTCGCTAATACAAACGGCAATCCATAATCAGTAAGGTTGTTTTTTGCTTTGTGCGTTGCGAGAATAGTCTACATGTTTCTAATAAATAATCTACATGTTTGGCCTGCTTATTTTAAATATTTTACACAAGGCTTCCAAACAGTCTGAACAGAGCTATTTTGGTAGTATGACAAACCCGGAAGTTTACAAACGTCATAAAATATAAAACCGGTTTTGCAAGTTCTCAAACAGCAACGTCAGCATGGAAGAGAGATTTGTATCGCGTGCCACCAGAGGTTCTCTTCGCCTCGCGTAAAATAAATACGAGCGGGAATAAGGCGAAAGATACAGAACCTCTGGCAACCAGGGTAAGAGAAACACGGCTGTCGATCAAATTTATATGAAAGTTCAATTTTGGCATTTCAACTTAACTTTAATTTCGTGTGATGCCTTAGTAAGTTTGTCTTTAATTTCATGATTCTAGTTGGGAAGCCAAATAAGTATGAAACATTTAAAAACGTTTGAAAGCATACTTGACGTCCATTGGGAGTTTGTATATTATTTAAAGTTGGTCCTCAAACATGCCTTCGCCTTTCGAATATGCCACAAACAATTAATATACTGTTATGCTTTCTTTACAGCCCAAGGCACATATTGGTCTTTACAAGAAGATGGGCAAAATGTTGATAATGTTCCTGGAAATGGCTTTGTCCATTTTCACCGTACAAACGGCTGGAAAAACGGTATTATATCAACTAGAAAACGCAGGTATATGCTTTTATCTGGCCCTTCTTGCCAGAAGAAGCTATTAATAATAGAAGGAAATATCCAAACCTTGTTTTACGTATATTTTAACTGGACATGCATGCACGCTGGAATCCCTTTCCCTTTCTAAACAGATCATTCGAAAACATTGTTTGAACTTTAAATATTTCTAATTGAAAACATTGTGGTACGTCGCCGTGGCAACATGAGATCGCAGAATATGTTACAAAATGTGAAAATTCATTAGTTTTTTCCCCTCTCGGATTTGTTAATGCGAAAAAATGCTCAAATTTGTGCTCAAATCAAACTTTTCATATTATATAATACCTTATTGAATTCTGCTTGTTCAATTGGCTGTTTATGGTCACGTGATATTGAATAGAAAACTTCATTTCCCAAAAGTGCAATGGAATACGTCGAAAACACAAAGAGTGCAATGGAATAAAACGTATAGTACAATTGCACTCGCAAAGAGTGCAATGGAGTTATAAATCGCATGCGTCAACATTTAATGTCAAATGGTGTTTCTTTCTTTAAACGATAGTTACTCTTTAGGAGTGATCGAAATCGTTTCGGTTGTGGCTTAAGTTAACAACATCCTGAAATAAATGACTACACTCTAAGAACACTCAGCTGATTAAACATTCTGGTTAACGTGGAAATAACTCTATTTCGGTAACTTGATATTCCTAGTTAGTTTCCTCCCACTCCCGCTGCCCAATCAATGTTGTTTACCCGATTACACAACAAAGTAAGATGCCAACTGAGATAACAGGGAGTACTATATTTATCTATTGGCTTGCAAGACTACGACATGGACGGTGGTCGTTAAAAAAATAAATTGTTACCATCCAATTCGATGTAGATTTAGTACGCGCAGATCCATCGCACTGAATTCTGTTATTTTTAATTTATTTTTTGATACCATAGTTGGAGATCGCATTATCGCTCGTTGGACTAATAACAAATATTACGCTGGTAAAATTGCATCTATTTCTGAAGAAGATATTGGCATTTTGTTTGACGACGGTGATAAAATCACGCATCCATTTGAAGACGTTACCGCTGTTTTTCCCGATACGGTTCCTGAGTCCGTTGAGTATAAGGATCATGTTATTGCGCCATGGAAGGGAAGTTACAGACAGTACATCGGCTACGTGATAGAAGTGAGTGAGTCTCAAGGCTTTAAGGTTCGTTTTGATGACAATGACGAAGCCTGGTACCAGAAAGATCAACTCAGAATCCTTCCAGACGCTTCAACGGCCCACGATGGTTAGTGATTGCATGTTTTAAGTTTGATTCGTTTGTGTGTTGTGTTGTGTTTTCCTGTTCTGTTCTGTTTTGTTCTGTTCTGTTCTGTCCTGTTTTGTTTTGTTTTGTTTTGTTTTGTTTATTTGGTTGCAACACCATTGAAATCCTAACAAAATAACTTTTTCGACGGGTGAGCAAACATTAAACAAACCGAAAACAATCATATATTTACTCACCGATTGGCCAAACATTCTGTTTTTCATACCGAGAAAAAACTGAATATCTTCTAAGCTCTTCAGAATTCGCCACAAGTCAACAAGAGTGAAATACTCCTTGTATTGAAGCGCCTTTATGTAGAAAGTTTCGTTTGAATACGACGAGTAAAAATGGTTATCTTGAATTTTTCAAAATATCGGGTTTTTCCCTCGCACGCGCGTGACACACGCTAAAATTGGCCAATAAGGAGTACACACGTAAAAAAGCAAAAGTTGTTACAAGTTTGCAATAAGTTGTTACAAGTTTGCAAGTTACAAGTTTTCGATAAGTTGTGTTCGCACTACTTGTTCTCAGTTATTGTAACAAGTTTGGAACAAGCTGTTAACAACTTGTAACAGGCTTGATGGCATTATCTGACATGTTACAAGGTTGTTCTAACATGCCTGATACAGTCATGATAAAACAAGTATGTTACAAGGTTGACGACACAAGGTTGTAACAATATTGTTATATCATGACTGTATTGGACCTGTTGGAACAACTTGCAACAAGTCTGATAATATCAACAATATTTTTAGAAGTTGTTAACAGTTTGTTTCACACTTGTTGATAACTTAGGACAAGCAGTGCGAAGACAACTTGTTCACGACTTGTTCGCAGACTTGCTAAAAGATTTGCACGTGCAAATCACGCTATAGATGTACAGTAATTTGACCTTTAGAATCGATTTCCGACGTTTCCCAAGCGGTATGATGTAAATACGCAATGTTTTGGCAAATCTAAATCGTATTTCCGGTCAAAACAATATCCCGCTGACTTCACTAATATCGCAACACATTGAAATACCAGAATAAAACATGAGAAACTGAGGCTACAAGCTTGAAAATAACACTGTAAGTAGTGTTTTTGATTGTGAATCGAACAAGACTACAAAGATATGTTTGAAGGGGACAATAAAGTTGTGTTCGGCGAAAGGTATGGTTTTAATCAGTGCATTGTTTACATTTTTCGAACAAAGAACAAATATGTCATTTGTTTCTTGATCAAAGGTCATAAATCGCTATAAATTTTGTCTTTTACTAAAACTATCGTAAGGAATTATTGATATTTTTTCAGTGAATCGAATTGTGGTATTTTCATCTACGTAACACTTACTGAACCGAAAATATGAACATGCAAAATAGTATTCCACTATCGACCTAATTTTCTCAGGACCTGTCGAAGTAGATTAAGCTTTCTGCGATGTTTTTTTTTAATAATTAGTGAGTTAAGTCACATGCATGCATGACTTGTTGAATTTTAATGCTCATACTTCTAGGAAAGTGACAAAGTTGTTGGTAAGGATAGTTTTTGCCAACCATATCAAATCAATCTTCGAAAAAACATGCTGAGGACTTTGGCACAATATGCTACAACAAGCCTGTACTACTCGGTTGCATAGTCAGCCTGTCTGTTGTCATTGCTGGTTCGATGTTGGTCGCTTGTTAGTTGAACAGTTTGTTTAAATTAAAGTCTTTATGTCTGTAAATTGATTCGTTGAATGGCGTGTTAACTTTTTTTATCTAGTTTGTATCTCCATGGTTATTTTTTGCATTGTTTTTTTTTCGTTGGTTGGTCGGTTCGTAAGTCAGTTGTGTTTTTAATAGTGGATTGGTTAATAGTGACTCTCTTCTTCATAATTATTTTCACGTAATTGCAATTATCTTCTTTTTTATTGTAGTCGGTGCTAGAGTATTCGCCCGCTGGACAAATGGGTTGTACTACAAAGGTTTCGTCAGCAAGTCCAATTTGTCGTCAGTCTCAATAAATTATGATGACGGAGATAAAATCATCCTGCCAAAGAATGACAAAGCTGCAGTCATCCATGACAAGGTACCAGCAGAAGAGAAGGTCCAGATAGGGCAGGAAGTGATTGGTTATTGGCCAGGTCGTGTCAGATATTACCCAGGCCATATCTCACATCTCTGCGATGGCGGAAACAAGTATTTCCTGAAGTTTAACGATGGAGATGAGCGGTGTGAAGCGGTTTACGAGATACGCACTGTTTCAGAAGGTATACAGTTTAGTCTATACTCAGAATTTTGCATTATCTATCGCTGAGATATCTATGTATATTTGTGGGAGATTAAGTGGAATTGAAAGAGAAGAACAATTTTAGTCGCCCTAATCTTGACGGTTCCCTTGTATCAATGGAAGAACTTGTGAAAGCAGCAATTACAGTTTGTATGGCAATATGTAATGTAATGCAGAGAGAAATAATTATTACTAAATTTGAATTAAAAAATTGCACAAAAAGAATGAAGTAGTGAACATTTTGAAAGTCTGTATTCCTTGTGAATGCGGAGTGTTATATATCAGAAAAATGGAAGGAAACCTCTCCCTTAATTTGAGGTACATAAACTTCAGATTGCGAATAGACTTTCTTCTAGGTGTGTAACCTAGTGAATGTATTTTATTTGTAATACTATAGTTGGTGATCGCATCATCGCTCGTTGGACAAACAACAAATATTACGCTGGTAAAATTACATCCATTTCTGAAAAAGATATTGGCATTTTCTTTGACGATGGCGACAGGATCAGACATCCTCTAGATGACATTACCGCTGTTTTTCCCGATACGGTTCCTGAGTTCGTCGCGTATAAGGACCATGTAATTGCGCCATGGAAAGGAAGTTACAGGCAGTACATCGGGTACGTGATAGAAGTGAGCGAGTCTCAAGGCTTTAAGGTTCGTTTTGATGACAATGACGAAGCCTGGTACCAGAAAGATCAACTTAGAATCCTTCCAGACGCTGCAACGGCCCATGACGGTGAGTGATTGCAGGCTTTAAACTTGATTTAAACACGAACGGTCTGTGCCGGCGTAGGTAGCCACAATAACATCTGAAAAATGCGAATTGAGAGGGATTGAACCGGATGTTAGTAGCGTGGATTAAGATAAATAAATGCGCTTTTGTACTTGTGAATATAAAAAGCGCTCGTGAGGCAAAAAATAAACCAATCATATGGATTTGGTAAGAACCAAGGGCAAACAAAAAATGTAAATCACATTACAGAATATATCACTGAGGAAAAGAAAGGAAGCTATGCAATAATTAAAAAAAAAAATCTATGGAATATTATGAAATAAGTAAGGAATAAGGTGAGAATTAAAGTTAGGCAAGGACCGATATAGGCTGGCTCATTGATACCATGGATTGTAACATAAATAGATAGGAAACTTCCTGACGTCACAGTCTAAACCTAGTTGCAATCTCTGACGTCACGCATATTGCGAATATTACCAAAGTTCTCGGCATTTTTGTTGTTTTGCTACACTTTCCACTTTATAAGAGTAATTATGAAGCATAAACTGGTCTAGTTGTTTTATAAACATGCCTAAGCTACGACAAAGTATTCAAGGTAAATGTTTTTCGTCTTTTGTTTTTTTTTTACATTTGTAGCTACGAAATTGGCGTCGCCAATTTTAACGAAATTTGCGATGTCTTTTTCACTGTTTAGTGCTTGAAATATTTGCTAAAATTGATTGGGAATACTTAGAGATTTCATTGTAGAATGGCGTAATTATATTTATTTGCTCTTTGACCAAAATGTTTAGCTGTATTATTGCTAAACATGCCGTTTTTGAGAATTTGGTTTGCAACTAGGTTTCAATATCCAATCACGCCATCAGCCCATTGAAAACATTAGGTCACGTCAGCTAGTTTCCTATCCATTTATTTTATTATCCATGTTGATTCTATAGTACGTGGTGAACGTTGTCAAGCAAAGAAATGAAGCGCATTTCCTGTTTTGTGCGGTTATCATTGCCTCCAGAAATAAAAATAGGAATAGGGCTCGTCGACTTTTCATGTCTGAAACAGTCTAATTGGCACTATTAAAATTCCTGGCAAAAGGTTGATTGGCATCATTACTAATGACAGCACGCCGATGCTCGTCGCCTTGTTCTCAAAAGTCTTCCAGTTTCCCAAATATAAAGCATATCAGATTACATTAGTATTTAAATCTGAGTAACATATCAAGCATCATTTCACGTGCACCTCCTTCCTTCTCTTCAACTGCATCTCGTGTAGTAAATGTAGCATGCTTTATATTAGGAAAACTGGAAGACGTTTGAGGACAAGGCTTCGTGAGCATCGGCGTGCTGTCATTAGTAATGGTGAGAACCAATTGGTCCTGTTGCCAGATATTTTCATAGTGGCTATCACAGCTAGAGTTTCACACATGATTATTCGAACCCATTCTGATAGCAATGATAGAATGCGCCTCATATTCAAGCTTGGTACAGTCCGTCCCTATAGCATCAATAAATGTTTTTCTTATGTTTGGCTATATCTGTCCTTGCATTATGTACTTTAATTCTCACCTCATTCCTTACTTGTTTCATAGTATTCCATATTTTTTTTATTTATCCCATGGCTTCCTCTCTTTTCCCTTAGTAACCATTTCTGTAATGTGATTTACATTTTTGTTTTCACCAAATCCATCTGATTGGATTATTTTTTTTTTACGTGAATGTTTTTATATTCACTGGTATAAAAACACATGTATTTTCCGATCCGCACATGATACAGACGCACATATAACTTCCCGACAAAGAGCCTTCGATCGAAACGTCGAAGGTTTACTTGGTTAAGCTGTCCGCAATGTTTAGGAATAATTGTGTGCATTAAAAAATCAAACAAACACGACAGACAGATTTTCATTCCGTTTTTTTTTGAAAAGTGAGAAACTGGCGTGTTGGTAAGGATTATTCTGGTCAACCACGTCACATCAATTTTCGATAAAACCTACAACTGCAATCAGAGAATATGCTCTTGTCCTTAGCCAATTTTGGCAAAAATGATCTTCCTACTGAAGCTTGCACTAGTTGTTAAATTCATTAATAGGTTGCATAGTTAGCACGTTTTGCCTTGCTTGTTGGTTGACCGGTTTGTTTGTTCTTTTTTTGTTTGTGCGTTTGTCTGTCCCTCCGTCCATTTGCCTGTCTGTCCTTATGTCCTTTAATTTGTTTCAGTGAGTGATTGTTTTTTTCTTGGTTGGTTGATCCATTCGGCGTCCGTCTGTTGGCCACTTATGGTAGTCTGTTGTTTGTTGAATGATCTTTTAATTATTTGTCACTGTCTTCTACATTATTACAGTACAATACTTTTTCAATTAATTTTTTTCTTATAATATCATGATTGCGGGTATTCCCCTTGTTCTCGCAAGGCAATTAAGTTAAAAACTAATACACATCATTATATTCATTTTTTTAATCCTTCCCGCTTTTACGTCATGTCAGGTAGGATTAGTTCTAATCCTACCCGATACGACGTCAAAGCAGATACGATTAGAAAAAAATGAATATCAATGAAGATATCTAAAATCGCCGAAACTAAACAAAGACGTGGAAATTCGACCCGAGTTAATTTTACTAAATGACCAACCTCGTACCCAGGGCTTCTGCGCTTATTGCTCTCAGAAGCCCTGGAATAATCCAACTCAGAACGTGATTTGATTGGTCAATGCGAATACAATGAAAGTACCGGAAGTTATTCATTAACCGGGTGATATTTTGGCAACATGGCTGCTATCACAAGGAGTGTATACAAAAGTTAAATGCTGGTTTTTGCATGAAAATACTTTTTTAAGCCAAATTCTGGGCTATTTTGAAAAGAGAAAAAGAAGAAATGGACTATTTGTATTTGTAAATAAGCAAGAATGGCGAACAAAGTAAAAAATTTAACATAAAGCGAAACATTTCTCGTTCGAAAAATATTGAAATTTCAAGTATAACTCTACAACTTCAACCACGATATTCAATGTAAATATTACATAATAAAGTTTTTAGTACCTTTTTTACCTTTATTTGATAAATTGTGTGTTCTATATTATTGCATTTTGTATTGGAATAGGATAAATTATTAATTATACACAAATATTTAAATTTGCAAATTATTCCCAAATTTTGAGGATGCTGGGTGCACTTATGGGTGCATGCCCTGCCTCAGAGTTTGTATTAGTCCCTATTTATTATTGAGTTATTAGTGCCTCTAAATCTCTAATGTACAAACATTGTAATCTGTTACTTAATATCATAATGAAACTGTTGATAGCACATATATTAAATGACTATTAATCAAAATGAACTAAATTTTTGACTATTATATAGCATATTTCCCCCAATATTGAGGGAACAATTTCTCATATTTATTTTTATAATAAGCCAGTATTGCCCAACTGTGAAGTAAATATTTCCCGACTGGCCTAGTCTGCCCAACAATCGGGCCCCGCCCTGTACGTCTATGGCCAGGCCTACAGATGGACCCTCAACCGGATCGGTCACAATTTTTCTTTCTCCGAAATTTCCCCTCCCCATGTACAAGGATTGACAATTTGACAGCTTGATTAGATTTGAAAAAAAAAACACTGTTATATTGGGTCATTCCAGAAAACACCCATACCACCCCCACAGAGGAAATTGAAAGTTAATCCCTCCTACCCCTTTGGATGTCCTAATACATTTACTATTATCAGAAACAATTTTTCCCTCCTACCCCTCCAGACGGCAGAAATTTCCTCTGTGGGGGGAGTGTAGATCTTTTCTGGAACGACCCAACGACTCATCACTGTATGTCAGAATACTGTTCTAAGTTGCAACTAAAATCCAGAGGTCTAAAAGGCTCAAGTCAATTCCACTGGTGTAACCAGAGGGGGGGGGGGTCAAAATATTTTAAATGTTCCAGACTTGTTTGCAATTAAGTAGAGTTGAACATGTGTTAACTGAATGGTTATTTCAAATCACCAAAACACATTAAAATAGCCCCCCCCCCCAAATGGCAGTTTACCAACTAGAATTTAAAAAAGCTACATTGTACTATATTATACATGGATAGCTTGGGAGTCCAAATACATTTTTACATAATAACAAACTTATTCAAACTAGTGCAGGCCCCTCCTGGGGATTTCAGCCCCCCTTGAAGGCCTTGATTAGAAATCCTGGCTACATCACTGCTCAATTCCATTGCCAGTGGTGTTAGCATAATTAGACAGAGTATGTTAACAAACTAGTGTGTATTATGAAATAATCCATTGAGCACCAGTGATCTATCCCAACATATAAAATCATCTGGTGTTAGACAGTCAGAGTAAAATAAAAAGTAGGACACAATGTATAACTTAATAGGTAAGGTTAATGGCCAGAACTAAATGATAAACAATATTTTATAATAAACCCAAATTAGTTCAGCACCATTGATTCTTATAACACTGTTCATTCCAATACTAGAATATCAATTGTCATTAATTAAAATGTATTTCAGTTGGCAATTAACAAAAGTTGGAGTTTCATCTGATGACATGTATGCTTCTAACCATGCTGTCCATGCAGCTATCTGACAGTTTTTAATTTTCAACATTCCCAAAGCCATTATTCTCAAGATTTGCCAAAAAGGTTTTCCAAATAAGTACAGAATTATATTACATCACTCATCACTGTTCATTTTACATTTACTTCAAGTAGATGCATATTTACAGTACAGTATATCTTGTGTATTCATAATTAAATCTTGCAATATCTTGTTCAAAACCCTCAAATCCAAGATAATCGGCAGCCAGCCATGTTACCAGTAAGATTTCTAGTTTGTTGACTTTGAAATGACAAAGGTTGTACTCGAGTATATTTATACTTTAATTATTGAATAGCCTCTGTATATCGCTGACAAGGTATGCTTTTGTCGCGATACTGAAGATGTTCTTTTGCTCGCCAAAGGGCTTATTTTACGCATAATTGTATCTCTAAATTGATCATTCCTGACTTTAAATTCCAAAAGCCACGCGAGAAGCAGTTTAAGACGTCTTTAGAAGTCCAAATTTATTATTAATTGCAACAAATAATGCTTCTCACTCCTTGCGTAAAAATATGCCAAGTCAGCGTTTTTAGTTGAAGTTATTGCTTACTTCCGCTTCCGGGGGCACCAATCTTTTATGGTGTTCCGGTTTGGATTATCCCAGGGCTTCTGAGAGCAATAAGCGCAGAAGCCCTGGGTACGAGGTTGCTAAATGACCCGAATCGAGCGGCGCCCAAGGGAATTTTACTAAATGACCCTCACCGGGCGGGACGTTTTAATAGCTAATTCGCCTCTTTTTATGCTATTACTTATAATTACAGTCGGTGCTAGGGTATTCGCCCGCTGGACAAATGGGTTGTACTACAAAGGTTTCGTCAGCAAGTCCGATTTGTCGTCAGTCTCGATAAATTATGATGACGGAGATAAAATCACCCTATCAAAAATTGACAATGCTGCAGTCATCCTTGACAAGATACCAGAAGAGGACCAGGTCAAGATAGACGAGAAGGTGATCGGTTATTGGCCAGGTCGTGTCAGATATTACCCAGGTCATATATCACATCTCTGCGATGACGGAATCAAATATTTCCTTAAGTTTGACGATGGAGATGAGCGTTGTGAAGAGATTTACGAGATACGCTCTGTTTCAGAATATATACAGTTTAAAATATAGAGATTTGTCAGAAAATTGAGGCATTGTAAAACTTGATACTCGCATATAAATTTTGCTTGATTAGTAGACTATATGATTTCCTCAGCACTATGGTGTTTGACAATTTGAAATGACTTCATTTATAAGATAGACATTTTAGTGATCAACGATTCTTTTGTATGATCATCTTATGTTTAATAATTTTTTTTGAAATTTAATTTGTTATTCTCAAATTTAGTTTTGTAGCATGTTTTTAAAATTACAGTTGCTGAGTTTTGAACAAATATTATCTCTGTTTCTTTCCGAGAAGCCAAAATAGTCGTGAGTAGTTTTGCACCTTGATAGCAGCAGCCCCTCCAGGAGTTTATTTGGGGGTTGGGGGAGAGGAAGTTATAATTTGTCGATCACAATTATTTAGCGTCGCCGGTCATGCTCCCGAAAAGAAATTGGGACTGAATCTGCATTTCGTGCAATGTGGAGGAATTTGGATAAAAATGTGAATGTCCTACACAGCAAAAAATCGTTTTCTTATTTCAAGAAAAAAACAACTTGTTTCAAGAATTATTTTCTTAAAACAAGAATTTTTTTACTAGGGAGAATAGCGAGAAATATTTTCTAACTGAGAAAATATTTCTTAAAATATTTCTTAAAATTAGAAAAAACATTTTCTTGTTTTAAGAAAAATATATCTCATTTCAAGAAAATAATGAAACATTTTTCTAGTGCATTTTTTCTTAAAATAAGAAATTTTATTAGAAGAAGAAGAAGACTTTATTCAGCACGCTTTTACAAAAATAAAAAATATACAAAATTTTTTTTAGAACGATTAATAATTAATGAATAAGACAAAATAATTCGTGCTGGGTTTCTGAGATAACCATATACAGTTAATCGAGTCAGATAACCCATTTGAATTAAATTACTAATATTCAATTAGCTGGGGGATTGATGGCATTATATAGAGATTTAAGAAAAATAAATTTTTATATATATATGCAAAATATAAGCACAAGCATAATGTAGACATAACATATACACAGAATTAAGTTATATGGAATACAAAACTATAAATATATAATTAATAGTTGGAAAGAAAGCCACATATGATTGTGTGTTTGAAGCTGGATAAACTAAGAACTTTATAATGATAAGGAAGACAGTTCCAAATTTTAGCACCAGAAAATCTAATGTTAAATTTACCATAATTAGATCTGATATTATGCATATAAAATGACTCTTGACAAGCAAGCCTAGTACTATATTTATGAACTTCAGAAGTTGGGGTAAAGAATTCCTCAAAAACTGTAGGAATAATTTTGTGATGAAATTGGTACATGAATAAAGCATACTGAAGGAACACAATATCCTTGAATTTCATGAGTTCGAGTTTTTTAAATAGTTCACTAGTATGACTATTATATTCAGAAAAATTTATAATTCGGATAACTTTCTTCTGGAGGATAACAACATTTTTTATTGAATTTTCATAGGCATTGCCCCAAACTAAAGTTCCATAAGTAAGATACGGATAAATCAAACAATAATACAATTGTTTTAAAATGTTTTGAGGGACATAATATCGCATTTTTGCAAGAATACCGATATTTCGTGATATTTTTTTTGAGATTTGATTCACATGACATTTCCAATTTAAATATTCATCAAAAATTACTCCCAGATATTTTACACTTTTTTCTCTCGTTAGACATTTTGAGGAAATAGATAACGAGATAATTTCAGATTTTTTTTAGATGTTTGAGATATGACATAGTTACTTTTATCTATATTTAAAGAGAGTCTATTTGCAATAAGCCACTGGTTTATTTTCATCAGTTCGTTGTTAACTTTATTTTCGAGAATGCTGATACTTTTATCAGTATAAAACAGATTAGTGTCATCAGCGAATAAATGAAAGTCAAGCAAATTTGAACAATTCTGAAAGTCATTAATGTATAGCAAGAATAGCAGTGGTCCAAGGACAGAGCCTTGAGGAACTCCACAGCATATTTCCTTACACTCAGATAGAGTGTTGCCAATAGACACATACTGTTTCTATTTTTTAAGTATGAGCAAAACCATTCCTTTGCTATTCCTCTCACACCATAATGATCTAGTTTGTTGATCGGTATGTCATGGTTCACTGTGTCAAAGGCCTTGCAGAGATCAAGAAAAATACTGCATGCAAACTTTCTATCATCTATAGCCTTTTGAATTTTATCTGTGATCAAAAGTAGTGCATGAGTTGTTGAATGCCTTGGGCGGAAACAAAATTGTTTATCATAAAGGATATCAAACTTGTTAAGGAAATTCATCAGACGTTTAAATACCAATTTTTCTAGCAATTTATTAAATATAGGCAAAAGTGATATTGGTCGATAATTATTTAAAGTATCTTCAGTTCCCTTTTTATACACTGGAATAACTTTAGCAATTTTAAAACAATCTGGTATTAATCCATAAGTAAGAGAATTATTGAAAATTACCTCAAGAGGTACTGATAAAGTCTTTTTAACAAGTTTAAGAATCTTCATTGGAATACTAAAAAACCCAGAAGCTTTATTATTTGCCAGCAGATTAATTTCGTCTTCAATTTCACTGGCACAAGTGGGATATAAGAAAAAAATATTAGAGTTTGGAGAACCCATGAAATTGGTATAATCGACAGTTGCACTAGGTATCTCTTTATCTAATTCACTCCCAACATTTACAAAGTACTGATTAAATGCATTAGCAATTGATTTACAATCAGTTATAGTTTCACCTTTATCAACAATCCTTGATGGTAAATTTAGGCGATTAGCCTTGAGATTAATAATACTACGAATCCCTTTCCAAATATTTTTTATGTTGTTAGTGTTTACAATAAAAAAGTTGTTATAGTACCTTTTTTTACTTATTTTGATCAAATGGTTAAGTTTGTTTCTGTATCTTTTGAATTTGCAATAATAAGTAGGATTATTACTCTTTAATGACTTACGAAATTAGAAATTTTTAATTACTATTGATTTTTGTATTGCAGGAGTTATCCATGGTTTAGATAATGTTTTTATTTCTTTTTTATTCATTTGTTTTAAAGGCAGATGCTTGTCTATAATTTCATTAGTTTTTGAATAAAAAGAGTCAAATTGTTCATTGATGTTAGTGTCACCTAAGACAGTATTCCAATCAATAGATCGGAAATCATTTATCAATGTCTCTTCTTTAAAATGACTATAGTCTCTCTTATATATTTTTGTTTTGGGAGGCAATGAACAAAATTTATTTATTATCAGAAAATTTGGGAGATGGTCAGTTAAATCATATATTAGATTTCCACTAACTGTATGATGCTCAAGTGAATATATTGAAGAAGATACTGTCAATCAGTGTTGCTGAGTGACGAGTTATACGAGTAGGTCCTGATATAAAAGGGTGGAAAAAGCTAGCTGATAAACTATTTAAAAACAATTGTGTTGGAGGGTGACAATCATAATTTAAAAGATTTACATTGAAATCACCTATCAACAAACAATATTTATTTTCTCGTTCTAACCATAGTTAATATAGAAGACCGGGTTTGGAAGGCCGGCAAACTTCAAAGCAACACGTGATCAAATGGGATACCATGTTACAAAGTACGTCACGTGACAGCTTATAGTGCATTCGAGCTGCAATTCATAGTAGAAACTTATAGAAAATAGAGGGATCTTTGTCTAAAATCACCATTTTCTCGTCTCATACGAGGTCTATGGAGCCATGCGGCATTGAATACATGGAGATGGACGAAGAGAGTTCTTTGCCATTTTATGAAGGCAATGGAGCCTATAGTTCGGGTTTTGAAGACGATTTTGAGCAAACTCTTGCTAATGCTTGAATATGGACTTCGAGGTGGTGATGATTCATGAAGAGGTGAGTTAAATATCACCTCACAAATTCTCATGAAGAGGTGAGTTAAATATCAAAATAACTTATAAAAGTAAGCCGTGCCTTTTCAATAACCTCACCTATAATTTAACTTGAATCTAGGTTGAAGGAAATAAGCAATTCCCTTGCGACTTTTGTGAGAAAATTTGCAAGTCACAGGGTGGTCTAACAAAACATAAACATCCTTCTGAAGCTTTATATTATAAATTAAAAGAAAGAAGAGCAAAGAAAACTTTCTAAAGGAGTTTTATGGCAATACAAACGCCCATTGGCAACAATATTTTCATCCTTATCCTGACAAGAAGATGATGTTTTTTATCCTAATTCATCTCCCAGAGCGTTTGTTGACATGTATTGAGCAACCATTTGACTCTGAGGTAATTGTTTTCTGAGTTTCTGACATAGTTATATTTATCAGTTTGACCTAGCTAGCTAAATGGTGTATGTCTGGAGGTAGACGCTCTTCCGATCTCTATAAATTGTATAATATATAATACTGGTCAAACCTATATAAAGTTCCCTCAAATTATTTAATAATTTTAAAATACAACTACCCTGCGCCCACAACCATCTTGGTTTCCAAAAGGTAATGGACCAGGGTAGTACCCCTGGGTAGAAATATAGTAGCTCAATTTAACCAGTGTATTAGCATTTATTGTGTTTTTATTAACTTATTTTAGGAAGAAGTTTCTGTGTCATCACAAGAGCTTGGCCATTGACCTATTTGGCTGGTTATGTCATGAACTCATGATAAGATCTTTGTATCGAAAAAGCAAAAATTGTTCCAGGTGGCACTCCCAGAGAAACAAAGAAATTCAAGCCTTGATGTATTCAATGCGAACTGCAACAGAGGACAATGAGTACATTTAATCGTTGTGGTGGCCTTTGGTCACCTCATTTATGGCTTAATTGTAAGTGTAATGGAAGTTAGTGAGTTAGTTTTTAGTAAGCACACGAATAAAGACAAGTTCACTTGTCTCCCAGTAGACAAAATAGTGAATAAAGTTTTAGCTTCTTCCCTTGTGAAAAGCTTGTGGTGCAATATTATTGCAAATTATGATATGGAAATCTCTAAAGAATGTCAGTTCCTGTGTTTAGAAAATATTGTAAAGTTATATGTTACTGTTAGATGTTTTCATTTGCCAAAAATACTGTAAATAATGTGTGACCAGTGAAGTGATGTAATTAATCAATATTAAATGTATTCCTTGAACCCTTTTGCCACCAAAGAATTACATTAGTTTTTTTAAGGTCAAGTCTTTAAAATGTTATTGCATTTGACCAAATGTCCAGCTTAAATATAATCTAGGGTATTGGAAAACCATAACCAGTCACAGTCACACATGGTATGTGACACATTTGAAGTGCATGATCACATGATCTACTGAAATCTAGCAGGTTTCTAATTAGCAATCCAACCTGAGGTTTATAAATATTTGATGTTTCGATGAGTGATTTTTATAGTTTAATTAATTTTATGAGATGTATTTTGTATGATTGTCGTAAGTAAAGGAGTCCAATATAGTTAATTAAAAATCTGCTAAATTTTATGAGATTTTAGCACGTCATGTGACAAGCATCTACCAGGGTCTTTTCTCCCCAAAAGAAAAGATCCTGGATACAAGGTTGGTCGAGACATTGTTACTAAAATATTTATTGCAACTGAATGCTAAATGTAAATATTTTTTAGTAGGTTTTAATTGCAAATATTTATATGAAAAATATGTACACTAATTAACTACTACATTTCAGTTTAATTAATTAAAGGGTATTATTATGGAGTAAATCTAGCATTATTTGAAAGAGATACACTTAAATACTGATTGGTTAGGAATGAGTATTTAACACTCCTTGTGAAGTGCTACATCACCTTTCACTGTGGTCAGCTTATAAGCAATCTTCCCCAAGCTAAATGATTCAGGGACAAATATTGCTGTTTAGCCAATCATAATGAAGCGTAATCTTACTAATATAGTGTAGCACTTCATGGGAGTGGTAATAGACTTTAAAAGTGCTTATATCACACAATTTTGAATCAATATAAACATTAGGTATATTTTGTCCTGCATGTTTCCCACATTGCATTGCAATTTATTGTTTAGCACTGATATGACTTACTTAACCCATTCAGTAACATTGTGCCATGATGGGCCCTACTTTACTCTGTCTAATGCCAGACTATTTTACTCTGTTTAACACCAGACAATTTTATTTGTCAAGGGTAGAGTGTTGGTGTTTAATGGGTTAAGCACTTCTAAGGTACTGTTAATTTTGAAAATTCTTAACAAGGTAAACTATTAGATCATTTTTGTGGCATGAAGTACATATTGGTGTCAGCACTAAATAGCTTCAAAGTTATATCATGCATAGCTAGATCAAGCAAAATTATAATGAGCTTTAGCTCATTTGTTTTAACAGCATGGAAATTCTCTAAATTTAACCCTTTAAGTGGCAATGTACCCAGATGCACCCTACTTTATTATTTACTCTGTCTATTACAGTAATGCCAGATGATTTTACTCGTAGCACTGTGCACAATACAATAGTACCTTCATAAGAAATGTTCAATATGTCTACAGATGTATTGATGATCGATCAATATTTTGCATTACTTGTACTATTGTTCTCATAACATGTTCAAGATCACTATTTCTTGATTGTTTTTTTGTTCTTCTCTTTGGGCAATGACTCCTCACTGACATTACACATTTACACCACTTGCTTCACTTTAATACCAGAATGCCGTCCAGAATTGAAACATTTCCTTGAATGGATTGTCAGCTGCTGTTGGGTTTTACAGTAAAATATCATTCCTTCTCCCTTGTGCTCGCTGGTATTAAACCGAAATACTCTTAAACATCATCCTGGTAGAACCGTTCTGTGAGCACAAACTCAAATCTTTCGCTCAACAAAAACCTTGTCAGGGCAACAACTGAATTTACAGTCTCTTTAATTGATAGTCCAGTAAAGGTTTGGGCAATCTTATTACTGCCTGGTTTTGCCTGGTAGATATAAGTTGTTCTCACGTTATCGCCTCTTTCGCACAGTTTTAACTGATTGCTTACGAAAAAAATAAGAATACACGTACGACAATCAATGTATTTCAATCTTGGGATGTTTCTCGAAAACATGCAGCTCGCCTTTAATATCGATCTGGCGACGTAAACGTTTGTCCATATCTCGATTCTTTGTAATTATGTTTCCTAACCCAAGCCTCTCGAGCTCTAGTTGATAATTCGTCTTTGCCAGACGGAATTCGAAAGATTCCGAGCCCAACATGCTTTCTGCTTATTCAACAACCAAATATTGAGCAATTGGCTCGAGGCATTGTAAAAAAATCGCCAAACCAACAGCTTTTTTCGCTTCGCATGTCATGCACACATTGTGGAATTACTATGGCCATTGTTTACGATCTTGCACGCAATGCACTATATGTTCCACGTGACCGAAAATCCAACATATTTCGTCACGTGACCCAGCCTTCCAAACCCGGTCTTCTATATTAACTATGTTCTAACTTACTTAATGTTTCATTCATATGTTAAATAAACAAATCAACATCTGTTTTGAATCGAAAATCTCAATCCACAAAGTTTCACAAAAGTTAGAAACAAAATCTAAGTCATTCCTTCTCACAAACTTAATATTTTCTTTTATATAAATTCCAACTCCTCCAGAATTGGAGAAACTCTGTTGATAGATAAAATTATAATTAGGAATTTCAATATTACTTACAACTTCCTTATTTTGGGTAAATTTGATTTCCAAAAGGCCAATAATACTGAACTCATGATTCAAGTCATTTAACATACATGTCAGCTTATCATAATTTGCATTGGGGCTGCGTATGTTGCAGTGGAGAATAGAAAAGGAGGTTTCGCTCACACTCATACAATTTAAGAAATCATCAGTTGAATAATATTTAAAATTAGAGTGGTAGTGCAAATTTGATTCAGGGTCCAAATTTTCCAGCATTGGTACAGAATTTGAGGAAGTCAATGAATTAAGGGTGTCAATATTTAAGCCATCAATCCTTAATTTTAATGTACAGCATGTACAGTTACAAGTAATAGACCTGGAACAAGTACTAGCCATCACAAATACGTGCAGATCGACCTGTAGGAACATTACTTGGGATGCCAATCCTGTGACTCACTGATATGTCTTCTGGTTTAATAGAAACATTGGCCAGATTACACCTAACATTCTCAGTTTAACAAAAAAACTCTCATTCTAAGAAAATAACTTATATATTTACTGAAATAGTAGGTCTGATAGCACAGCAATGTGTTGTAGCGAATTGGGTTTCTCCCAGGTTTTTTTCAGGATTTTCTCTTGGGTCCGTTTTTGAGATCAAGATTGAGTTTAGCTGAACAGTTGGAGTGGCTGCACCGCCCCCCCCCCCTACCGGGGGGCTGACACATGTACTCAATAAATGTAGTTGAGACGGAATGTGTTAAAGCAGGGACACTATAAACTGGTTAAAGATGGCTTGTCGGGCTTCCAACTGAAAACTAATTTCCACACTTCACAAAATTTTATAACTCAAACAACTTCATTTTTACTGCACTGTTTCAAAACTCAATTCAAGATTGAGTTTTTGGGGCCGTTGAACGGCCCTAAAAAATCCCAGAAAAAAAACCTGAAGCCATATTTTGTTTAACATTTTGTCCATTTGACAATCAATATTATCTATACCATTGTTCATTCACCAAGTCCATTGATTTCTTCATGTACATTTAATTAATACTGTTCCAAACACAGCATGAATTGCCATCAAAGATCCATCATCTTAGAATCTGTAAAAGGAAAATTTTACTTATTGAAAATATAATCATTACTTTATACAAAATATGCCAGAACAATGACCTTGAGACTTATCATTAACCTACAGTGTATAAGGGACTACAAACTGTGGATGTAATAAACAGTCTTTATTTAACCAATAACAAAGCCAGTTCATATTTGTATGTATAAGGTGATGCAGTGTATGACAAATATACATACTGTATGTTAACCAGAGACAGGCTTTCTCCAGACCTGTACCCAGTAGACCAGGGTTTTTTCAGGAATTTTTTAGGGCTGTTAATTTAAACGGTCCCAAATACTCAATCTTGAATTGAGTTTTGAAGCTCAATCTTCTCACCAAAGTTTCAGTGCAGTAAAAATGAAGTTGTTTGAGTTATAAAATTTTGTGACGTGTGGAAATCAGTTTTTAGTTGGAAGCCCGACAATTAAGAAAAAATGGCTGGAATTCATCTTGCAACAAAAGAAAAACTATGCATTCGCCATCTTTAACCAGTTTATAGTTTCCCTTAGTGCCCCTGCTTTAACACATTCCATCTCAACTACATTTATTGAGTACAAGTGTCAGCTTCCTGGTAGGGGGGGGACCCCAGCTGTTCAGCTACATAAACTCAATCTTCTCTGCAAAAACGGACCCAAGAGAAAATCCTGAAAAAAAACCCTGCATAGACTACTATCTGATGCCATCAGGTATCTGGGCACCATCCGGCTACCATCTGGTATTAGGCAAACCACCATCTGGCGCAATTTCTTCTGGCAAAGACCTTGGACCGATGTTATTTTAAAAAGTAATAACCAATAATCACTATTAATTCAGCAAGCTTAGTTTCACCAGACACTAAATTTTGTTGCATCATACTTTATTATTTTACTCTGTCTAACACCAGATAACTTTACACAATGTCAAGGGGAGAGCAGTTGTACTCAATGGGTTAATCAGACTATCTGCCCATGTGTCAAAATAACCATTTCGTTCCATTCTGCACTACTGTCTAACTTGCCATTTGGGAACAACAGTGTGAGCTGATAATTATTAGTTAGCCAAGTAGATTATGTCAATTAATTTATGATCTGTCATGTGACAGTTCCAGTTTAAAGGGGAATATACCTTGTGGACTAAATATGATACTCAACTGATCGACTGTCTTCTCTTAAATAAATTTAACTCATTAGACAGTTAGCATAACTGTAGTGTAGTAACATTACATTAACCCTTTACAGTGCCACTGCAACAAGATGGCCCTACATTATTATTTTACTCTGTCTAATGCCAGACGATTTAACTCGTCAGGGACTCAGGGGAAGAGTGCTGCCACTATTTGAGTTATTACATCAGGACCCTGGACAATGCACAATTGTTTGGCATTGAGATAGCAAGATTAATCTAGATAGTAGGACGTAAAAAAATACCTGTGGTTCCGGTTTCATATCGCGAAAAAATTAGGGTTGGTAGGTCGGAAATAATTTTTTTTGAATACTTTTTCATGGATTTTTCAATAATTAGTGTGACAACTGAACCGACGTCATTTTGGCAGCAGCCCGCAACCATCCGGAGAAAATAGGGTCGCACAGTCAATCACTTTGAAAAAATAATAGGGTGGGCAGAAAAAATAGGGTCGATCGGGAACCGGAACCACAGGTATTTTTTTACACCTAGTATGGCACAGATAAAATTGGTACCTGTACCAAATTTATCCATGCTCAGCCTGTGTGAATAGGGGTAGTCCAAGCATGGTAAACATGTTACGGATACCAAAATTGATTACAGTGCCAACAGGCCTTACAATGGGCTGCATTGGGGGTAGATTTAGGATTCACATGTAATTGTGTTGTTAATATTTACTACATTTTTGATGCAGTATCAAGAAATGTAATAATTCCTAGAAACAAGGTACTTACATGGGCTGTTTACAAGATCAAGACTGATTCGTCTGGCTGGACCGGCTTGCAAGTGCCGAGATCTGGTCTTGTACATGTATTTTGTTTTTATATGTTTTTGAGATTTGATTCACATGAGAACCAGGCTGGCCTGGTTAATTTGATGGGCTCCTGTTTGAGCAAGGCAAGATCTCACCTTTCCCGGCCAGCCCGGCAAACCAGACTGGCAATTGACAATTGTGTCACAACGCATGCTTTATTCTATCTAGAAAGCATATAACAATTAAAAAAAATAACATTAATCAACAATATTAAAACTTCTGAAGCAGTTTCCTTCAATAAAAATACCATTTTCAAAATTAAAACAAATATTGCTTTCCCACCATATAAAATTGTTTGGGAATTTCTTATAGCACTTGCCAGGCTAGCCCGCCTCATGTGAAATAAATAACAACTTGGGCCGGCAAAGCAGGCTAACTCTGTTTAACGGGCCAGCATGGCTCATATGAACAGGTCCTGGGTGACCACCTTAGCTGGGCCAGTTTGTCATTTTCTTCATATAAAGCACTAAAAGCAGACTATTTATTCTTGTTAATTCTTACCTTACAACACCAGTTTGTCAACTTAATCCAGAATTCCTTGATTGTTGAGAACAATATTTGGAGCCAGGCGATAGCCCAGCACCAATATTAATCTGAAAATACATAAAGCAAACATTTCAGGCATTGTGTCACAAACATGTTACACATTATAAACTGAAGTTCATTAAGGGCTTGCAAGACTCTCCAGCCCCTTGAAGAGTGAAATTGTCTGGCACTAGGCAAAGTAAAGCAACAGCAGGGATGCATTTGGGCACATTT